AGGCAGCTCCCCAGGATGCTGATGCAGCAGATCCGGGCTAGCAGAAGGAGGGGGCAGAGGAGAGGAAAGGCCTGGAGACACGCAGTCCCTTAACGCTTGCGGGCCTGCTCTGCTAGCTACCTTCTGCATCGCAGCTGCCCTTCGCAGGGTCGTATCGCCTTGAAACCCCCTCTCGCCCCCCGCTCCCGACCCCGTGCCGGGCTAGCCTGTTTTCTCAGCCCCACGTCAGCTGTGAAAGCAGAATCGCCTCGACACCCATGCAAAGCTTTCCTTTCCCTGCCCTCTCCCCAGCCCAAACGCTTCTCTCGGCTGAAGCTTTCCCCGGCTGTGCCAGGCCGGTGTCCGCAGAGGAGGATACGCGTGGGCAGGGGCCCGGTACATTGTGTCCAGCTGGCCTCAGCGCAAAATAGCAAAGCAGGGGTGGGAGCAGCCTCCCAGCAGGCTTGCAAAACAGTCGGCAGGGACAAAAACGACACACACACAAACACAAACAGCCTGGCTGTGCTCTCCATCGCTTCCAGCCAGGGCAGAGGGGAGACCCATCCCAGCCCCCCCGAGAGGAGCATCACGACACCGCCAGGGACCTTGCCCCACATTTCAGGGCTGGCTCCTTAGTCATGTCCTTAGCTGGTGGGTGCTGCTGTGCCGGATCCCCTTCAGCCGTGGGGCTACAGCAGCCGAGAGCGCTGCCCGCAGCCAAGGCCTGGGGATGCTCCCGGAGGGCAGGGCAGGATCCTGCCGGCTGCAGCTGATAAATGGAAGGGGAAGGTGTCAGGACAATGCTAGGAGACTCGACAACCAAAGAGGGTCACAAGTTACAGACTTGGATGCGTCTAGAGATTGCGGACTCCCGGCAGCTCCCCAGCTGTCTGCCCGTGCCAGGCGCTATAGCAAGTTTCTATTTGAAACACAGCCCAGAGGTGACGCAGGGAGACCGTTTCAAGCGATTGGGAGTGAGGGAAATGTGGACCAGGTCCAGATGGCACCACGACCTGCCGGAGAAGCAGGAACCCAAGTGCTCCGACTGCTGGCCCATTAGCCTGCGTTTTGCTGCGGTTTTGCTTGGGTGAGCACGCTC